ATTGTGTGGGTCTGCCTTTGAACCCCACAGCCACCAGGGAAGGGGTCTTGCATCCCGGGGTCCCTAGCCCAGGAGCAGCAGTGCAGACCCCCAGCTCTGTCCTCTCTGCAGGGCCCTGGCGACCCCTGGTGGACGATGGTGGAACACAGAGCCTGGCTCTCCCACCCTCCCGGTGCGGCGGCCTCCAGATCCATCTGTGATCCTCCTCAAGATCGTGTGCTTCCAGGCCAAGGATTAGTGGGTGCGTAACAAGCAGGACTGGGGCGTGGCCAGTGCCAAGGGCTCCCTCTCCTGCCCCTGCACAAGCCTCTTTGTGTGGTTTAGTTGCTAAGTCGTGTCTGACTCTTGTGACCCCACACACTGTAGCCCACAGGCCCGTAGGGATTTCTAAAATGCAGACTGCCCCAGGGTATACAGAGAAAAGAGAGACTGTTTTCCTACCAGTCCCCGATCCTTGGTTCCTTCCCCAGTGGTCGTGGCTGTGACCCTGTCTCCTTCCAAAGATATTTGGATACCTCCTCATTAAAAAAATGGTATGCAAATTGTTGTCTTCCTGCTCTTTACAGTAACATGGTGTGGAGAAAAACTGCTTCAGCTTTTTAATGGTCGAATACTATTCCGCTACATGACTCAACAGCCTGATTTAAACAGTCCCTGTGCTTCGTGCTTAGTTATGCAGTCATGTCTGACCCCTTGCGACCCCATGGATTGTAGCCCACCAGGCTCCTTTGTCCACGGGATTTCTTGCAGGCAAGAATACTGGAGTGGTTTGCCATTTCCTCCTCCAGGGGATCTTCCCAATCCAGGGACCAAACCAGCATCTCTTGCATCAGAGGCAGATTCTTTACTGCTGAGTCACTGGGGAAGCCCCAAATAGTTCTCAACTGACAAACATTTATTTTTCTTTTTTTGCAATTACAAAAAATGTAGCAGGAAACGGATCATTTTGCATGCATTTGCATGTTCCTGTAGAAAAATTCTTAGAAGGCAAACTGCTGAGGGAAAGAGGGTGTGCATTTTTAATATTAATAGATTCTAGAAAATGGCCATCTTGAGTCACTGTACTGATGAGCAGTCCCCCCTGATCAGCTTTCAGGCTCAAGGTCTTGGGTCTGCCTACCTCTCTCCTAACTGGGGGCTTGGGGCACAGGTCACCAAGGCTTCGAGCCTCAACGTCCCCTCCTGTTGCCTGGAGGTGCCATCAGCAGCCGCTCTGCCGGCAGGGTGACTCCTCTGAGCTCCTGTAATCCTTGTAGTTCAGTGACTGTCGTGTGGCCACAATTCAGCCGCTTTTTGAGCAATGTAATATGAAATGCTAGTAAAGTGCAACTTTAGGTGCAGAATTTGACGTCGGGAGTTTCCTCAAATTGAAACCCTGCAGGAGACCCAGCCGGAAGCTGGAGGCTAAACCAACCCAGAGCTGCATTCACGCCATGGCCACGAGAGGGGGCCGGAGAGCGGCAAGCGCCTGGGCCGCCTGGGACGTCCTCGGGCACCCTCGTCTCTTCCCCGGGCCAGCCCTGCGGGGTTCTCTCCAGCACCTGTGCTCTGCGCCGCCTCTCCAGGGTGCGGACGAGCTGCCCTGGCACAGGCCACGTCCCCCTCCCTCAGGACCTGCCTGGCAGCTCTCCCCACACCTTGCCTCAGTTTCCCGCTCACACCCCCACGGCCTCTGGCGACATTTTTGCTGCAAATATGCTCAAGAGCTGACTGTGCTCTCTGCCTCTGACTGATTCTTGAACTGGTTTATGGCCCCGTGGTCCCCCTGGGCCCATGCAGCTCAGTCGGGCCACGCTGGTGAGGCTTCACTTTCTGCTCCCGAGATCTGTCTTTCTGACTTGTGACATCCTCTCTTGATTTTTGTCCTGTATTTTGGCCTCTCCCAACTTCCAAATTTCTTTCTTTCTGTCTTTTTGAAGTTTTGCAATATTTCTTTTATTTCTTTCACTTTACAAAGGAAGTTCTTTTAATTTTTAAAAAGCTTTTTATTTTGTATTGGTGTGTAGCCAATGGACAACGCTGTGATACCTTCAGATGAACAGCAAAGGGACTCGGCCATACCTATATACATGTATCCATTCTCCCCCAGACTGCCCACCCCTCCGGCCGCCACATAACATTAAGCAGAGTCCCATGTGCGATACAGTAGATCCTTGTCCCAGCTCCCACATTTCTATCCTGGACACGACTCCTCTGCCCAGCTGTGTGGACACACCAAGCCTGCCAGATCAGAGCCGAGCTATCCTCCCTCTGTGACGTCCCGTCTAGTCTCCCTGTGGTCAGAGCATCCTACTCGGCCTGAAAGCAGGCCACGTGCAAGGGCCAGACACAGAAGGCCTCATGCGGTGTGACCCTACGTGTATGAAATGTCTGCAACAGGCAAATTCCCGGAGACAGGGAGCAGATTGGTGGTTGCCAGGGGCTGGGGAGGGGGACTGGGAAGTGACTGCTCATGGGGAGGGGGTCTTCTTTTGGGTGGGCTGCTCAACAGCCTCGATTGAGACTCCCCTGCCCCAGGCTGTGGTTTTGGGGCTTCCTAGCATCTTCACCGTTCCTGCTGGGGGAGTGCTCAGTGGAAATGTCACAAGTGCAGCAGGAGATCCTGATGGCTGGCCCCTGCGGCTTTCCAGGCAGCTTAGTGGTAAAGAATCCTGCCTACAAATGCAGGAGACACAGGTTTGATCCCTGGGTTGGGAAGATCCCCTGGAGAAGGAAATGTCAACCCACTCCAGTATTCTTGCCCGGAGAATCCCACAGACAGAGGAGGCTGGTGGGCTACAGTCCAGGGGGTCACAAAGAGTCAGACACGACTGGGCACTGCAACAGCACACTGAAGGGAGGAAGAGAGGCAGCCACTATGCAGAGAGCCAGGCCGGGGCGGCTCGCTGACCAGCACTCAGCACTCAGGAGTTGCTGAGCTGAGGGGCAGTGAGGGCCCAGGGCTGCAAAGATGGAACTACCCTAAGTATCCAGTGCCAGGAACGAGGGGCTCACTCACTGGAGGAAGATCTTCCCAGATGCAGAGGAGTGACCACTCCAAGACACTTCATGTGGAGAAAAGCAGGGTGTGCCAAGTGGGGACAGGCACGCAGGGACACAGACTATCACAGACCATCTTGGGAGGACCCAACCCTAACTCTGAGGATGGGTCTGCAGCGGATGCCGCTGGAGAAGGGGCCAGGGCCTGGATGGGGTCAGCTGAGATTGTATTACCTTCACCACATATCTATTTCTTGAGACTTCCCTGGTGGTCCAGTGGTTAAGACTCTGTGCTTCCAATGCAAAGGGCATGGGTTCAATCCCTGGTCAGGGAACTAAGATCCCACATGCCGTTCAGTGTGGCCAAGAAAATATATTAAAAAAAGAAAAGAAATCCATTTCTTGGTTCTCAAACAGAAATGGAGACGTGGAGGGCAGTGTGGTAACTGATCTGGTGAGAGCAGCAGGCCTGTGGCTGTGACAGGTAAGGGTGGGCAGGTGGATGGGAGCCAGAAGGGAGGGGCTGAGGTCCTCTGATTCCTGGAGACCACTGTGCTCAGGCTTTTGGGGTGCAGGCTGTGATCCTGTCATGCCGCATGGCCGTGCCCGGCGCACTTTCAGTCCTGCACCTCGTTTCCTGTCTGCACCCCTCACTAGAGCATCAACACCCCAGTGGTTGCACTGCATGGAGTGGAGCCAGGAGGGAGGGGGTGGAGAGCCAGGAGGGAGGGGTGGAGCCGGGGTGGGGGGGAAGCCAGGAGGGAGGGGAGCCAGGAGGGAGGGGGTGGAGCCAGCAGGGAGGCAGGGCGGGGCTTGGAGGCCAAGAACAGGGAGAACCCTGACGCAGTCAACTGGCTAGGATCCGGGGAGAGCTGTGTGGAGGCGTGTGGGAGTTGGAACACACTGTGTGCAGAGAAGAAACCCTCTGCACAGAAACTCAGGGGCTAGTCGTGGAGTCAGCTGGTAGTGCGGGGCCAGGGCCCCGGTGGCGCAGGCTGATGGGCGGATGCAACAGGGCCCTGAGCTGCCCCAGTGCAGACTCATTTAATTCTTCCAACAGCCCAGCCCTACCATCTTGTTTTGGCTGCACCAGGCCCCAGCTGTGGCGTGGGGCACTTTAGGCGCGGCATGTGAACTCCAGTGTGGCACGTGGGATCCAGTTTCTTGACCAGGGATAGAACCTGGGCCTCTTGCATTGGAAGCCCAGAGTCTTAGCTACTGGACCGCCAGGGAAGTCCCCCAGCCCTCCCATCTTCATTCCCAGGGAGGGGAAGAGGGAGAGGAGATGGAGCGAAGGTCCCACCTGAAGGCTGAAGCAGAGGAGGAACCAGGTGAGGGGACAGAGGGACACCCGGGAGGCGGGGCACGCTGAGCCCGAACCTCAGGCCAGCGGGATTTCAAGAGCACAGAGGCAGGAAAGCGCTTGGGAAGTTTATTGTCTCGAATGACATTTCAGCTGAAAATGGTGGAACTTGTATTAACAGAAGAACGAAAAGTGCCAAAAACTAATTCTGGGAAAACCCTGAGCTCACAAGACTTAAATCAGAACTGCATTTTCATAACACAACACAAGTCAGGGAGGGAGGTGGTGTCTGGGCGAGTTGGCACCGGGACGGACCAGTGAGCAAAAGGTCACAACTCACACAACCGTGCTTGCGTTGTCAGCCCCTGCCAGCAACAGATCTGGGGTGAATGGCGGCAAAAGTAAAAATCAGTCCAAAATTTTAATGGCAGAATTGGTGCCAGAATTTCTTCTAGAAATAGTTCATAGTCTTAACCATAAAATTACTATATATATACATATATATATGTATATGTATAAATATAAAAACAAGAGTTGGGAGAACTGCTGCATCTCAAGCTGTTTCAAATCCCAGTTCGTAAACAGACGACGGCGTTGGTGTCTCTGGCTGGCGGCTCACGGGGCGCCCTCTGCCGTCAGCTCTGGGTTTTCTGAAGGAACTCGAGGGCCAGGGAACCAGGGCAGGTCACACAGTCCTCTTTTCTGCTAGCCCCAACACTTAATTAGATGCGTCTGAGGTGACGCTGCCGGGGTTGCCAGTGGGTGAAGCGGTTGGCATTTGCTTCCCTGGCCAGCCGCCCCTGGCCTGAAAAGACAGAGACAGAAACTCGGGGGGGGGGGCTGTGAAGGCTGGTGGCCCGCCCAGCCTCCACATCCCTTAGGACGTGCTGAGAACTGCGAGGGGAGCCAGGATACGAGGGGGCACGAAGGGGTCCGCCCTGAGTCGCAGCTGGCCTCCACGTGGACGTGCTTCCTTGGCAGGGTCTGGCTTCCGCTGGCCGGGGAGAGGGGAGGGAGACCCGGGCAGGCGGGGAGCTAACAGTGGGCCCTGAGAGACCGCGGTGAGATGTGCTGAGCAGCAGGAGGTTCAGGAACCCAGCAGGACGCGTGTGTGACTGGGAGTCAGGAGGGGAGGGCCCATGGCTGCTGGCTGGGGGGACTCTGCCTGCGCTGTGGGGATGTACTGGTGCACGTGACCGTGAGGTATCTGTCCACAGACCCCCACCATCATGGAAACCACTGTTGACAATGGCTGCCTGCTCAAAGGTGAGTCCTGTTTGCAGCCCACGAGAGCAATAACGCACAAGCTCCCCTTCTCCTTCCTCATTCTCAAACTTTCCTGAACAGGCTGAACCCCCCTCTGATGCCTCCAGCCCTCGGAGGCCCAGACCTGGCTCCCTTCCCACTCTCCCCACGGCTGCTGCCTCGCACACATCCCCAGGGCCTGCCAGAGGGCCGTGCTGGGCAAGAGCATCGGAAGGCTGGCGCTGCTGCACTCAGCCTCAGTCTGAAAGCACCGGGGTGGGGACGCTGGCCACAGGGGGACACAGTCTGCCCTCGGACGGACACCACAGGCCTGTGACCCCAGCAGGAAGACATGAGTGAGGAGGGGAGAGCTCAACTGGCAGGCCTGGGAGGTGACAGGATGGTGCCCAGTATGGGCCTGGGAGCCAAAGGGCAGCTCAGGGCTGAGGAGCCAGCGCCCAGCTGGGTGGGGGGGTGGGGGGAGCGGGGGTGCTCAGCCTGGAGACCTTCTCTAGGGAAGAGCACCTGTGCCTGCCCGGGCCAGGGGACTGGGGCACAGCTGGGTGTGCACACCACAGCCCGCACTTTCCCACGTACTACACGGACCCCTAACCCCGCGTCACTCTCAGAGGCTTGCCCCTACTGTGCTCGCGGCGCTGGGCCTTGGGCGAGCGCAGAGCAGGAGGAGCTGGCCACCTGGTGGCATCAGAGTGCTGGCTCTGCCAGGTGCTCACTGGGGGGGGCTGTGGGGTTGCCATGGTGATGGGATGCACTGCAGCAGGAGGCATCCATTCCCTGCATCTTTAAGAGGGGTACACTGAGGAGGCAGATTCGACTCTGAAGCGAACAGTCTGGCTGCGTGAGACCCTGCCTACTGCTGCGTGGCCGTGTCACACCGGGACCTCACAGCTCAGCAGGACAGTCCTGAGTGTGGGCCCGGCCCCCAGCCGCCCCCCGCCATGGCTGTCAGTGGGGGGCTGTGAGAGGGATGGCGCCCCTCACCCTGAGAACCTTCCTGAGGGCACATCCTAAGACAGCCACGCTCCGAGGCCCATGCTCTTCCCAGCCGCCAAAATGGACCTCCACTCTGGCCCAGCTGGGCGCCAGCAGGGGTGACCGGGACAGCGAGGCATGCTGAAGGCTCTGAGCTCAGGGTGCTGCACCTCCAGCCCCCCAGGGCCTCGTTTCCCCGCGCCAGCCTCTGCCTCCTCGGGGAGGGAGGGCCCCTTCCCAAGAGGCAGAGCCGGCTGTGCCCCCGAGTCCTGTGAGGACTGAGGTCTCTGCGGAGCGGCCCACGGTGCCCAGCTCCCTGAGGCAGCTCCGCCCGCCTGCACCACCCCCGTGACGAGGGCCTGGCGGGCCCACCTGGTCGTCACGCCCTGCACGAGAGCCTGCGGAGGCCGCCAGTCCCGAGGACCTGCCACCTGTAGGGCTCCATGCCTGCTCGTCACTGGGTCGGGGACCCCACAGACTCACCTGGGCCAGCAGGCCACCTCCCCGGGGCGTGGGCTGCAGGCAGGCCAGCGTCTGCAGGCGGACAAGCGCGTCCCTGGGGCCGGTCAGCGGAAAGGGGCCAGAGGAGCCTGCAGGGGTCGGAGGGGTCAGGACCAGTGTTCCTGCCCCGGGAGGCGCAGCGACGCCTCAGGTGGGACTCGCCAGCCCCCTGGGTTGGGGAGAGGCCATGAACGGGACTCCCACGGCCCCTAGCCCTCCCGCAGCCTGTGTGAGTGGGGAGACCAGCCTTCTGGGGTGCACCTCCTGTCCCCATGGCACCCGCCCAGTCGGCGGGGCTGTGTGATTTGATGGGGACCATCTGCAGTGGGAACGGAAACCCCACCATGTGAGCAGAGGAGAGAGGCGTGTGCAGGGCCCGTCAGCGGCTCAGCGCGCTCAGCCTCGGGGAGCTGCCGAGCCAGGCTGGGCGGCCTCACTCACTGGAGTGGGACATCGATGGGCAGCTGGCCTGGCGCCCTGGGCCCCTGACTTCGGTGGCGTCCACTGCCGTCTTGGCTGTGTAGATGGTAGCCTCTTCTTGAAACTTCCTCATGTTCTTTTTATACCGGATTCTTTTGTTGCCGAACCAGTTGGAAACCTGTGGACACACAGAGGCAGAAGTCGCTGGAAAAGCTGACGGAGCAATGAGACATGACATGAGGGCATTGCTGAGCCACAGCACGTGGCCCTGAGAGGGGTGAGAGGCTGAGACTGGAGCTGGCGTTGATGAACCCTGGGCGCAGGGAGATGTCTGCTGTGTGCTGGGGGCGCCCTGGAGTCGGCGTGGCTTACAGAGAGGGAGGACCAGGCGCTGCTGGAGCCTGGGATGAGGATGGAGGTGGGAGAAGAGCAGGCGCGTGTCACACGCGTGGAGAGACCAGTGTCTGCTCACTGCAGGCAGCAGGCTGGGTCCCGACGTGGGACACGGGCACCAGCAAACGCATTTCTGGGGATGCGATTTAAGCAAAGAACGCAGCCGAATCCAAAGCTTCTCCAAGGATAAAGGACCACCTGACGGAGCAGGGGAGGAGCTGAGCACGGAGCGGAGCGCAGGCAGCCTCAGTCTTGCTTGGGAGGGAGCTGCAGTCACACACATCTCGTAGGCATGGAGGTAGGGACAGCACCTCTGCGCGAGCCCTCTGGGGCAGGGCTCCTGCCTGTGGGTCGCTCTCTGGGCGGGCGGTGTCCTGGGCTCTGAGGCTGTTGAGCAGCATCCCTGGTCTCCACCCACCAGAGGCCAGGTGCGCCTCCCCTCCCCTCAAGAACTGTGACAACGAAAGTGTCCCCTGGCTGGGGGAGAGGCTGGACAGCGCCCAGCTGCAAGAGCATGGAGACGTGCACAACCGGAAATGCCGCGTATCCCCAGGCAGGGCGCCTGGGCCTGCAGGTTCACGCACACGTGAGACGTGTGAATTTTCGTGAACAGAAACACAGCTGAATTGCCTGGCGGGACTGTGGATGACCTTTTCTCCTTTAAAAATTAGTTTCTTTAATGTCCCTCTGTAATCCTCTCAATGTCAACCACGGACAGAAAAAGCCCCATGTGTGTTCCCTGCTCTCAACTCTCCTGCCCTCGATGTGAGTGTGACCTGCTCACAACCAAGCCAGGTAAGCACCTGGCTCCCACTTACCTCCAAGGAATGCACGCACACGTCTGTGTTGAAGTTTGCAGAAGAATGTCGGCGAGCAGTTTTCCATGTTGAATTTAACTGGCATTTTAGAGGGGCAAAGAGCAGACTTCCCGAGTGGGTGTTTGCGGGGAGCTGGCTCAGGCCGGGGTCCGCCCTCCCTACAGGGTCTGTCCCAGCACCTTGGACAGGAGTGAGATGCCCTCCCTGCAAGGCTACCATAGCTCGGCGTCATTGGCCACTGCCTGCCCAGTCTCTCTGGCCCCTTTGGTCCATGTAGCTGTGGCCATTCAGGTTTCCATCCATTGCCTTGTCCATGGGCTCAGCTCTCCTGTCCTTCCCCCTCAGGCCTCCTCAGCCTGCAGCTGCAGCTGATCCTTCCTGGAAACATCCGCGGTCTCATCTGCAACACCTGTGCCTAATGTTGCTCCACTGTTTTCTCCTTAAGTGAACCTCACAGCCTGCACCACATCTGGAGCCCCACTCAGCTGTCAGCCATCTCTCCCGAGGAGCCGCCACAGCAGAGAGGGGTCCCAGGACAGAATTCCGCTGCTGGTGGGGGTGGGGATGTTGGGGCCCAGCCACCGAGCAGGAGTCGCTGGAATGTGGCCAGTGCTTTTCAAACCTTTGTCACAAACTCTCTCCCCAGATGAAGTGTAGACCGCAGACCCGCCTGCTCTCTGAGGCGGCAGGCCTTGCAGTGAATCTGGTCATTTCCAGACAACTGCTGCTGGGGACAGATGGGCTGCCAGGCCTCCCACTCCTTCTGGGCCTCGAGGCCCTAGAGGTGCAGCCCGAGGCGCTGAGGCCGCCACGGCAGTCCCCGGTGCGTGAGCACGCCCGTGGGCCCCGCCGCCTGTGGGGCCCTGCGGGGCTCCTGGGCGCCCCTGTCCCCAGGCTGCTGGGCTCGGTGGGGCTGGGGCAGAGGGCGGTGACCGAGGGCGCGGGCTGGCCGGGCTGGAGGCTCAGCCTCTCCCCGGGCACAGGGAGAGGGGGTGGCCGCCTGCAGGCGGGTGCTCCCGCTTACTGAGTCTGGGCCCCTGATGGCCCTCTCTGCAGCCAGGGGCGGGTCCGACCCCCGCGCTCCCTGCGGGTGCTGCCTGGCCCGTTTCTCATTTGCGGCCTGTCTGTACTTAACTGTTCTCATTTTAAAACCTTTTGAAAGGGCTTCCCGGGTGGTCTAGTGGTTAAGAATCCACCTGCCAATGCCAGAGACATGAGTTCAATCCCTGGTCCAGAAAGATCCCACATGCCTCAGAGCAACGAAGCCCAAGCCAGAGCGCCCATGCTGTGGAGCTCCACAGCAAGAGAGGCCGCCATAAGGAGCAGGCCGCGCAGCGCAACTAGAGTAGCCGCCACTCTCTGCAGCTAGAGAAAGCCCGAGCAAAGCAGCGAAGACCCGGCGCAGACAAAAATCAGTAAGACAAACAACGAAACCTTCTGATGTATTTCTTGGGCTCTCGCCTTAGCCCCAACTCCACCCCAATCCCACTGAGATGAACAGTCATCCCAATGTGGCCAGAAGTTGTCCGGGTCTTTTCTCCAACCTGCGCTCCTATTTCGCATCTGGAGCCAGCTGTTGCCTGTCTTGTACCCTCAGACACACGCTGGACTGTCAGAGAAACTAGCAGGTAATGCACACGCCTGAATTTATTCCCGGATAACTGAATTGGTACTTCTGCACGAGAGCTGGTCTATCACTTTAAGTCCTAATTTTGCTCCAGGCTCTTTTTCTTCCCCTAAGCTTACACCCCATCCATTTGACAGAACACAGCACACCCCTCTGATATGAGAATATTAAATCTTAATGACTGGGCTTCCTTGGCAGTTCAGTGGTAAAGAATCTACCTCCCAACGTAGGAGACACTGGTTCGATCCCTGATCCAGGAAGATCCCACATGCCGTGGAGCAACTCAGCCCATGTGTCACAACTACTGAGCCTGCGCGCTGGAGCCCAGGAGCCACAACTACTGAAGCCCGCTTGCCCTAGAGCCCGTGCTCCCCAGCAAGAGAAGCCGCTGCAATGAGAAGCCCGTGCACTGCAATGAAGAGTAGCCCTGCTCGCCATAACTAGAGACGCTTGTGCAGCAGTGAAGACACAGCACAGCCAAAACTAAATACATAAGCAAAGAATGTAAGGTCTAAAAAAAATTCTGACTGCAACTCACCAAGTATCACTACTAAGTGCTATGCTCAGTGATGTCACGACCGCACACTCACACGCATGGCCTCAGGGAGCGTGGGAGGGTCAGTGTGGCTTCCTGCCCGAGGCCCAAGTTCGTAGCGCAGGCCCGGGACCTGAGCCCAGACAGCTAGTTCCGAGGCTGCTCTCCACGTTCGGCTGTGGCTGCACGCCACATTCAGCCCCTGCGCCACACATTTCATGAACCTCCCTGGGTGTGCCTCTTGGGTTCAGGGAGGTTTGGCGGGGAAGGACCATCACCTGGGAGACCGAGATGCCACCCCTCCTGGCCAGCTCCTCTTTGGCTTCTTCACTGGGGTATGGGTTGCTCAAATGGGAATAAAAGTATTCATTCAGTACTTCTGTGGCTTGCTTGCTGAAATTCTGCCGCTTACGCCTGAGAAGACAGACAGCCTCAGCCGGGGATCATCCTCGGGGCCTCATCCCCAGCTCTGATCTCCTAGAGGCTGTTTCGGCAGTAGTCAGCACTTCATAGCCTTCCTGGAGGCTGTGTGAGGGCCGCACCTACAGCCGTGGTCAGAGCCCCTGCCTAGGCTGGGAGGCTCCCGTAACTCAGACCCACACCAGCACAGGACTTGCTGCCTCTTCCTGAGGTCACAGGTTGGGGGCAGGGCCTGACCTGGCATCGAGGAACCTCGCGCGCAGGGTCATCACAGCCTCACAGGTGCTCTGCTTCAGCTGCATCGGGATGCTGCTGAACTTGCTGTGGATGGCACCCACCATGTGCGCTATCTCCATGGGCGAGACGGGCCTGACCCTGCTCTGCTCCTGGAGGAGGCTGGTCACGTGCCTGGTGAACTCTCGGCAGGCCTGGGGTGGGGACACACATGCCAGTGGGTGACCACCCGGCAGGCTGGCCCGGGGCCCGTGTGGGACCAGCCCCTGCCCCCCGAGCCTCTCACACAGGCTGGCTACTGAGAAAGGATGGCAAGGGGCTGTGGTCCAATCGGCCACCTCGGCTACAAGGCCAAGCTCGCGGGCTCTCCGCTCGATGCTGCCCAGGGAAGGCAGTGTGTACACCGTGCTTTCCTTTGACACACGTGCATTCCCGTGATAGAGACTATTCCACGCAGAAAGGTCACCTGTTCGTATTTCTCTAGCTCGGAGTGGTACAACTGTTGGATCTGGGACAGCTTGGCCCTGTAGCCAGAGTGCTCGAGGCCCCTGTCGCTGGGACGGCCGCCTGGAGCTGCTGCGCTGGCTGCTGCTACTGCGCCCCTCCCTTGCTTCTTGGGCCTGGACACGCCCTCGGCCAGCAGCATGTTATCCAGCCTCAGGAGCTGAGCATCAGGGGGGCCCTCTTCCTGAATGCCACGGATGCTCGACACTGGATCAGAGAGAGGAGATGGAATCAGTGTCTGTTGTTGGAGCAAAAACCACCACAACAGAGTGCTAGCACTGGCCACGTGTCTGAACATTCTTCATGGAACCCTTTCGGGGGAAGAAAGACTCTCTGATGACAGACATCAAATAACCCACTCTGATGCTAGCCTAGGTGCTGTGCTCAGGAGCCCAGCTGGGGTGCCAGGAGTGGAGGGGGCAGAAATGCCACAGCCCGCAGCTCACAGCTGGGTGCACGTGGAGCTGAAGGCAGGGCAGGGGTGGGACGGCTCTGGGTGCGGGAAAGCCTGAAGCCTTGAATCACATCCCCAGATGGGAGAGGAGGCACCTTCCAGATGCTCATACCGCAGAGACAGGAATATGAAGGCTAGTGGCAGCCTGGCTTTGGGTGAGGCTGTGCTGGCATGTGTCTGAAACTGAGCTCCCCAGAAACCAGGTCCCCTTACTGAGTCTCATTAACTTCTCCATCTGAAACCTTATTCCCTTTCTCATCCCCTTTGACCTCCACCCTGTGTTGTTCAGTCGCTAAGTCATGTCCAACTCTTTGTGACCCCACGGACTGTAGCCCGCCAGGCTCCTCTATCCATGGGATTCTCCAGGCAAGAATACTGGAGTGGGTTGCCATGCCCTCCTCCAGGGGATCTTCCCGACCCAGGGATAGAACCTGAGTCTCTTGTTTGGCAGGTGGATTCTTTACCATTGAGCCACCTGAGACGCCTCAACCCTGTGTTAACTGAACACTAATCGACCAGTCAGATGACTAATATTCTGTTGTTGATAACATGGTTAAGGTGCTAAAATTGCTATTATAGATATTTCATCATTCATGTACAAACTCAGATTGTTTCCAGGGCAAGATGAGCTGATGGATACCCAAGGCACAGACCACCTGGAGAGCGAATCATAAGCCAGAAACACCCTGACTGTTGAAACTACGATTATGAAATGTCACAAGATGATGCTTAATCCCAGCCTCTCTCTTCTCCCCCTTAAAAAAGGACCCTCATTCAAAGACCAGAGTGGGCTAGATCTGAGGCTTGTCTCCTACTCCCTTGCTTGGTGCCCTGAAATAAATGCTGTACTTTCCTTCACCGTGACCTGGTGTCAGTAGAGTGAATTTGCTTTTCAGGTGACTGAACTTTGGATTGGTAATACATCTGTTGTGTCTGTGTCTGTTCTGTGAGTGTGTTGAGGGGAGGGTTTTTGCTGTAAAATCAGAGAGGAAAAGATGGATCCAGAGGTGCCAGAAAAGATGAGCTGAGATATGGGCTAGTTTGAGCGCAGACCCAGTCGCCTGGCTTTGTAATACGGAGAAGCCATCCTAGCTAGGCACTGTGTCAAGGGCAGGACCAGACAGGCAGTGGATGGGCAGGGATGAGCTGCTGCTGTCCGAGTGCATGTCAGCTACGAGGCGGCCAGAGGGAGAGGCTCCAGACTGTGACCACGGGAATGTGAAAGTGTTAGTCGCTCAGTTGGGTCTGACTCTTTGAGACCCCACAGACTGTAGCTCACCAGGCTCCTGTGTCCAGGGGATTTCCTAGGCAAGAATACTGGAGTGGGTTGCCATTTCCTCTTCCAGGGGATCTTCCTGACCCAGGGATTGAACTTGTGCCTCCTGTTTCCTGCCCTGGCAGGTGGATTCTTTACCGTCTGAGCCACCAGGACTTGAGAAAAAGGAAGAGGCTGTGACAACTCCCACATTCGCCCTGGAAGGCTTTACTTTTTCCCAAGCAGAGCACTCAAAACAGCAGGCAGGCGGGTGAAAAGGTGGTGTCAGGCTTGTCCCTGACACAGCTCAGCACAAATGTCTGGGTCACTGTGAAGCAGCTGCTACCTGGGAGCTGGGGCTGAGCCGACCAGTTCAGGTGCGAGAAGGTATTTGTGAGTCATCGGTGTGTGGCGTGAGTTTGGGAAGTCTGTTTCTCTCTACCTGTACCTGCAGGTACAGCTATGAGAAGGCCATACCCCCTGAATGCTAGAAAATCCGCATTTAAAGGGCAGGCAAAGGAGCAGATGGAAAGAGTTATGAGGCAGGTGGAGGAATAATCAGAAGTGGTAACAGAGGGGTGAAAACATAGGCTTGGTCATTAGGGAAAGATTGTTCAGTTCAGTTCAGTTCAGTTGCTCAGTTGTGTCCAACTCTTTGCATCTCTATGGACTGCAGCATGCCAGGCCTCCCTGTCCATCACTGACACCTGGAGTTTACTCAAACTCATGTCCATTGAGTCAGTGATGCCATTCAACCAGGGGAAGATTGTTAACCTCTGCAAAAGCAGCTGCAGGGTATGGCGGGGTGAAGCCTGATTAGCAAGTTCAGAGGAGGACGGGAGGCAGGCAGTGTAGGGAGGAGGCTGCTGCAGGGGTTAGAGTGAGGCTTGGGTCCAGGGAGGGTGGTCTTGGAGGACCTGTTTTTTCTCTGCTTTCTCGGTGATGGAACAAACATCAGTGGAGACAGAGGAAGGAAGGCTGAGGGTGACTCCTAAGGGGCTGGGGGCAGGGAATGGGGAAGGAGGTAATGAGAGGTGATACAGAGTCCACGTGGTTCTGACTTTCAGGAAAAACAAAGCTTTGCGTCTTTTCTTAGAAACAGGCTCTCGGCATTGTCAGCAGTGCTCGGGTAAGAACCGAGCTTCGGGAGGTCCCTGATGGTCAGTGGTTAGGACTCGGTGCCCTCGCCGCCATGGCCTGGCCCAGCCCCTGGTCCTGCAAGCTGCATGGCGCAGCCGTGTCAGCTGTAACCCTATCACAGAGACATCTGCTCCTTAATCCTGTGCCCTTTCTCGTTCCCTGTTTAACAGATGAGCTTTTTTTCGTCAGAAACTCACTAGTGAAAACTGAAGGTGTTCCAGAGGTGTCCTTGCAGGAATTTTCCTCACATGCAGGGACCGCTACCTCCTCAGATTCGGGGACTCTCAGCTCACACAAAAGAACCACCCCCCCCCCCCAAAAAAAAGAAGGCTTGGGCTTCCCTGGTGGCTCAGAGGGTAAAGCGTCCGCCTGCAGTGCAGGAGACCCAGGTTCGATCCCTGGGTCGGGAAGACCCCTGGAGAAGGCAATGGCAACCCACTCCAGTACTCTTGCCTGGAGAATCCCATGGATGGAGGAGCCTGGTAGGCTACAGTCCATGGGGTGGCAAAGAGTCGGACACGACTGAGCGACTTCACTTCCGGTTTAGTCCCACTGGGCTGCAACAGGGCTCTTTCTGAAAGAAATAAAGGAAAAGGGCCCCTTTTATCAGTTGCGGGCCTTCCAGTTGGAGACCTAATCCTCTAACAGCCTTACTTGGTCTTCAAGAAGCACCAGATGTAAAGGCTGGGGACTTCTGAACAGAGTGGATCTGCGCTGGCTGATCCTTGTAAAGGCCCACACCCTCCTAACTGTTCCTAACCCAGAGCAGATTACGGACATGCTCTTCCCTCATCCATCGGTGTGTGCAGATCCTATTGATTCTCCTCGACGACTGAGCCACCATCCAACCCTTCCCTTCACGCCCCTCCTGGAACCCTGCTGCGACCCGTGAGGAAAGCTGTCCCCTCTGGTCCATCGGGCACACTGCAAGCTGACTGCCCTCCAGTGCTGTCTTCATCACGCCAGTCTTCTGTTCAGAGACTCCAACCAGCTCTGCATCCACAGCGGCGGCCTAGGCTCTGACCCCTGGCACTCGGGGCCCTTCCTGACAGCCTTCAAACCCGCCCTTGTGAACCTGCCCTCTTCTGGGCCCTTCACGGCCCTTGGAGCCCAGCGACTGTCTCAGGCTTGCTCAGCAGCGCCTCCCGAAGCACCCGTGGGTCCAGCCTGGGCTCAGGAGTGACCGAGCAGCCCCCCCCTGCCCCCCGCAGAGGGCCCCCAGCACGGCCTGACTCCCAGGACTGGAGAGGTCCCTTCAGCTCCTCTCGTTACAGTTAGGGGCAGGAGTGGTCCAGGCTGGACACGTGGTGAGTGAAGGGTGGGTGGGAGCACGTGTGTGTGTTTGTGTATGTGTGTGTGTATGACTCTGGGCTGCTGAGGAGTGCTTAGTGGTCTGTCTTTTGTTCTTTTTTTTTTGGCCATGCCTTGCAACTTGTGGGATCTCTGTTTCCCAACCAGGGACTGAACCTGGGTTAAGGCAGTGAGAGCACTGAATCCTAACCACTAGGGAACTCCCCTTACGCTCTTTTATTTAACCAGCAGTGTCAAAAGGACGCACTGGTCATAGCAAACACCCTCTTCCAACAACACGAGAGATAGTTCTACACATGAATGTCACCAGATGGTCAATACCAAAATCAGATTGATTATACTCCTTGCAACCAAAGATGGAGAAGCTCTACACAGTCAGCAAAAACAAGACCTGGCTCACATCATGAGCTCCTTATTGCAAAATTCAGGCTTAAACTGAAGAAAGCTGAAGTTCCAATACTTTGGCCATCTGATGCAAAGAGTCGACTCATTAGGAAAGACCCTGATGCTGCGAAAGATTGAAGGCAGGAGGAGAAGGAGGTGACAGAGGATGACATGGTTGGATGGCATCACCAACTCAATGTACATGAGTTTGAGAAAGCTCTGGGAGATAGTGAAGGACAGGGAAGCCTGGCATGCTGACATGAATCTGAGCAAACTCCAGGAGATAGTGGAGAACAGAAGAGCCTGGCATGCTACAGTCTGTGAGGTTGCAAAGAGTTGGACATGACTTACTGACTGAACAATGACAGCAAAGCATCTGAGAACCCATCGTAAGTCAAGTACCCAACCAGGTGCAGGAGATTTAAAAAAAATCCCCCAGAAAACCATGGGACCTATTCTTAACTGAACACTCCCACAGAAACTCTGAGAACACCCCTTTCTCGCACCTCGCTAGGGGTCTGCATTATCGTGAACTTTTTTGGAGGGATGCTTTGAAATGCTGATTAACATCTTCAGATTCTTGTTCTGAGAACTAACCCTACAGGAACACAGACACCAGTAGATGTTACATTATAGGACACACAAGACCACACTGAAACTGTG